TATCCCCTGTGTGCCTTGTCGACTCGTTAAAATTCTTTTGATAATACTGTATCAATATTATATTAATAATAGATAAATCAGAAACACAAATCCTAAGATTGAACCGTAACGTAACGACTCATCAACAAAAAAGATATAAATAATCGATTTGTTAAATTATTAGTGTGGTACAATGTTAAATCGAGATGTAAAGCTCCCGTTATTAATTTAAAAAAATATAATTATTGCGAAAGAAGTTAAAATGCCGTTAATTATAAAATGTTATCCAATGTGAATAAATTATCTTATAAAACACTTTGCCGAGCATTCTACATTTCGTACGAGAATCGTCGAGGCAACGTACTGCGAGAATTTTCGGCGTCTGATAAAATGCATACGGATATTATGTTATTGGAGAATGAATCTCCGTATAATTTTGAGACACACGTTCTTACTCTTTGTGGTGTGTGACTATATAAATGGCTAGGAACGCTGTTCTCTTTATTCTGATCATTTTTGCCATGAGGCGACTCTCGCCATCCACGTGGACTTATGCAATAATCCGGTTTATCGTTCGAGTCTGGACGTGTGTGGCGATAGAAATTGCTAACAGCGCCACTGTTCTCTTTATTCTGTTCATTTTTTCCATGGGGTGACACTCGCAATCCACGTGGATTTATGTAATAATCCGCTTTTTTCAAGTCCACGTCTTGTTGACTCTTGTCCTTTGGAAATAAAAAGCTGCAAGCATACGAACGGAATCGATTAAAGTGATTAAATTGTCAAATAAAAAAATCGCATTGATAAAATTAATTTAACGTGCGATCTAATCGAACGTTGGACCTAACCTAAGGAGGTACACTTAACCGAGAAGAAATCGCAAAGAAGATAAGCAACTCTTTACTGGACTTATCCACGGTATTGTGAAACTATCCGGAATGAATTCTAAATCTTGTTCTCTAAATTTTTATTATGTTTTTAAGGAATTATCTAGATTCAATTATGTTTTCCAGGGATAACAGAATTTCGAACAATTCCATAACACGTGACAGGAAAGGATCCGATCCCGATCTTATCATTAGAGCGTTAACATAGAAAAGTGATATTTCGCAGACGTGTAGTGTTGATCCGATTTTTGATGAAAATGAGATGCAATTGCGCCGTTGACGTGTAAGTTTTTCGCAAATAGTGAGTGCAAATTGTGGGTAACCGCAAAAGGCGTTTCGGAAGTACAAATATATTCTACAAATTTGAGTGAGTAGTACTTCTTTTTTTTCCTATCGAGATTAATTGCGAGCCATTCGAATCCTAATCATCGTTGCAATCGCGTGACTAGTAAAATCTCGCAATCATTTATCGTTTTCTTACATTTTACCACGAAATTTGCGCACGTGACGAAAGATAGAGGAAGGAAATTATCTTTCGTCTCGTGCGCATGCGCACTATGTATGGTTGACGCGGGAAAACATCAGCCACATGTCCGAAGTAATGTATGTGTCTAATTACTCTTACATACTGCTTTTTACAACTCGCTTATATTTTCTTAAAATATTTTCAAATATTTTAAAATATCTAGAATATTTATTAATAATACCGGTAATAAAACACTAATTATTTTCGATTGGTTTATTTATCGATTAATTACAATATTCCGTTTTATATTTCACTAACTGCTGACGAACACTTCCCAATGTGTGATACAAAAGGTTATATATTACAGTATAAATGACACATTTTCATAATTTCAAATCAAATTGCACTTGTGCCTTTTTAATCAAGCACAATTAGACTGATATTTCACTCGTCAAAAACTTTTCTCAAATTCTGATTAGCTATCAAGGAAAGAAGAATTCTTGAAATCTCTTCGAAAAATCGGCATCCTAAGCCAATCAAACACTTCCGAAAACTTGATCACATGAAGTATGGAATATTAGTGTCAGAGTTTGATTAACCGTGCCAATCCGGTATTATCCAGATAAGTATTATCGATCGAAATACGTTTCACGGGATATCACACTGCATTGTTTAAGATTAGTACACTGCATCGTTTAAGATTAGTTTGCCTGCACCATGCGTACCTTTCGTCCTGTACACGAAATTTTTTCGGGCAAAGCAAACCACATGGCTTAATATAATCCGTAAATGTATTGAACTTTAAATCCATATTCGACTATCTATATTGTCGCTTTTTTCTCACAAAACGTAATCGACATCCGACCGACCAAAGATCGCAGCAAGACAACCCGAACACGAGACAGCTCAAACTGTGCCCGCCACCCCACGCTCCGTGTTTTATATAGTCGGGTAACTCGGGGACGGCGCGAGAGTAGGGGACAGGTGACGGCCAATCGCAGACCGGAGCCCTTAAAGGGCCACGGGTGGGGTGGGAGATACCGCGGATAATTTCTTTCGGACACGATCGGACACTGTGGGGGGCCGTGCTCGCATACACATTGTTAAATTCCCGCGTGCAAGTGCACATATGTGCACGTCATCCACACACGTGCATGTAACACATGTGGACTCGTCTGATAGCTCACCCTCATTCCACGGTGGCTCTCGCACAGCTCCTTTTTTAACGTGCGAAAGGGAGCGCCGACTCTCGACATCGAGCTTATTGGCTTTGTACATTTTTTAATTCATACATACGGTCGACATTCGTAGTGTCCAAATTAAAAGCAAAAACTGATTTTTCGAAATCATGTCTTTTAACTCAATAATACAAGTGTAATATAGGTACATATAAAGCAATATAATCAATATACGTACGAAACTATAAACAGCGAACTACAAACAAATATCGTGATTTTTTATAAGTTTCTTATGAAAAAAAATTGACTATTTTAAGAATCTTTATCATTTTTTTACTTGTTAATAACAAATTTAATAATTACTTTTATTAAATTTATTAATTCAAAAATACATGAAAGAAGTGGTTTGAATGGTTACTCCGATATCTCGTGTACATTGAAACAACAATTACATTAATTATAATGGAACATATAACAAATCGCAAAAGTTTAATGCAAAAGCATGTAAACACTTAAAGGCGAATCCATTAAATCTGCATTTTTTTTTTAAAGCCGTTTATAAAGAGAATCTGAAGTTTCTGGAATTCCACCGGAAGACCGAAAACTTTTGCATTCAAATGCAGTTTCTATTACCCTGTACATGGGAATTCTGTGAAAAATGTCCCGACCTGCTATTTTTTCTGGCGCGAAAGAGAAGGAAAATGCAGACATTGGGATTACAGTAAAAATGACAGTAAGCTCGGCTTACTTTATTGTGAGAATTATAATATCCCTGATCTTCTTCACAAAATCAACACCCTCGCTTTATACGAGAGAGTTCTTACAGGTATCGCATTGCCAAAAATTCCGCATGAACGTATTCAGCATATCATTTTGTCGATGTATTTTCAGTCGACATAAATGAGGTCCCCGATCTTTCTTCAAAAGTTCTAGGATACACAAATTTTCGAGACATCGATGATAAAAGAGAGGAGCGTTCCAAGTTATTCCGTCTAATTCGCATTCGTTGGATTTGTCATGAAACCTTCCGCGGTCTAGCTGCCGCACGTGACAAATAGATTAACTGATAAGTGAAGATTCCCACATATCAGCGATTTCAATCGTTCTTTTAAGAATCTCGAGAAAGTAAGTTGTATAAAGTTAAAAACTGTACCGTCGCTGCATCGAAGCTATCAAGTGCTGAAAATACGATTTTACAAGTAAAAATCAGCAGGGAATGTATTAATTTTCGTAAATACTAACTACATCCAATATCATATGAGCATACTGATTTTTCACGTCTCGAGCGACATTTGTAAAAATGCAAAAATTATTTTGTTATTTTCTTTACACACAAAAGTAGAAAATTGGAAATCATTGAAGGTTCAAATTCCCCTTCTCTCTTCTTCAGTCCCTAAAATAACTACGCCCTCTGGCCGGAAGTTAAATTTACTTGTCCACGTGTCTGAAGCTAAAACTCTCTAAATCCGTGAAATAATACAAGTATTCGGAAGTAATAAATATAAATCTATAAAGACGCGACTCTCATGTGCGCGGGCGTGTGTGTATGTGTGTGTGTGTGTAAATTCCAAAAGAGATACGCGCGAAAGATGCCAATCGCTTCTCGTTAATAATCTCCCTCGTTTACTCTCCCATCGATACAGCATCTCGAAGTATCCAACGTACTTATTGACTTATATCCTTGGGACTGAATCAGCTGTCGCTTGACTTTATCGCACCCCTACGTGAATTCCTTTGAGGTACCACGCACGAGGGGTGGGGTTTCTTCGCACGTACAATTGTTCCAGCGGGGGAAAGAACGAGAGGGAAGTGTTACTCCTACTCCTATACGGTGGCACGAGGAAGAAGCTGAGATATATACCCCCCATTGCAATTCTCTGGATGGACATACGCGTCCGGTAACGTCGAGCGCCATGCACTGTAAGATTCGCCAAAAAGCAAGGGAACGGTACATGCGACGGTACATGCCGGTGGCGTCGGGCCGCATGGGGGTAGCTCAGCTGCTATCCGCCGTGAAACCAGCGAATCGGGGGTCGCAGACCCCCTTGCGGACAGCTGCCAGATCGTACCTTCGACATTTCGCTCCCTCCCAGTCGTTACCCCCGTCGCGAGTAACCTACCCCTCGCGCAATTTATTGCACGGCGCACATGGAGCAACAGCTTTTTAGCGATCGTTTCCTCGCGCCTCAATATCGACATCGCGCGATACAAAATCTTTCCCATTCGGATTTTGTTTCGTGTGTCTTGTAGCCAGGCGAAATTGTCCGAATCATTCACCTCTTTAACTTTATATAATCTTCATTTCATATTTATAATCTAAATTATCTAATTATCTAATTATATTCTCTTTTTTAAAGAATCTTTTCAAAGGTACAGTAAAGATATATATAAGAATAAATTTCATTTTACGCGCTTCACATATTCCAAATTAACGAGAAATTCATCTCGATATAGTATAAGAAATTTCATTTAGCGCTGTAAATATGCAGCTGCAATTCTTCCGCAATGCTGTCAACGCGTTCTTATCAATGACCCAGCTGTGTTACCCATCAATAATCGAAAATCGTTCCAGTCTATTGACCCCCCTGTAACTCGTTTGTCGGGGAGGAATGCGGCCGGAGATGTGTCTCCTATTTCATACAGAGACATTTATGTGTTCACACGGACGTGTGCGTGCGAATACATGCGGGATGGTGATCGTGGTGGGGTGGCAAAGTACCGGCCAATATCGACAAATACTGGTCACGAGGCGAGGCGAGGCGAGGCGGCGACGACGGCGGCAATGCTGGCTATCGACTTTGATTTTTCTGTGAGAAAGAGTGCAGATGGCCGTATCCATTGTGAGGGTTGGCGCGTGCCAAGGGTGTCGACGGTGTACCGCCAGTACCGCACGAGACATGCGGTCTCTCTCTCTCTTTCTCTCTTTAGCGCCGTATCTCCCTTCTCCCTCTACGCATGCGAGACGGACGCAGCTAAGTGCACGTTCCCGCGCGTACATATACGTGAGGGAATTGCACGTGTGTGGCGTATGCGTGTACCGGTACCGTCGCCGACAGGTATAGGCGGTCTACACGCACCGGTCGCCGCCGCGCGTTAAGCGACGAAAGCATGGGCACCAAACCACCATGTACCCCAGCGCACATGTACCAAACGCACAACGACGCGCGACGTCGTTTCCGATCGATGGCGGGGTGGCGAAGTACCGCCGGT